AGGATGGGCAGAGGGGGAGAGCGGCATGGCTGGGGCGATGAGCGGGGGGCGCGGACACGAACGCACTCGTGATCACACAAATCGCGATTTGATCGACCGCGCATCAGGGCCACCTCCGATGGCGCCCGGCTGTCCTCCTCCAGCGAGCACGACAACCGCACTGCCCCCGTCGGCGCGCGTGCGTTCTTCACCGGCCCCTGCAGAGACACGGCCTTCCCAGACGCTCATCCCTCCGCTCCCTCTGGCGCACGACGCACGGCCTTCGCTACCGGCCACCGTTCGCCCTTGATCAGCCTTGAAACACCGCGCGCCCCACTGCCCACATTCATCCCTCTCTTGGACCTGCAGCGTGCGCACTCATCCGTTCTCTACGCATGCTCCTCACTCTGATGCTCTTGGACCATACACCTGCACAGCGATCTGCTGGCCTGCGAGGACGTGCTACAGCCGGAGCATCCAGCTCTGGGTGACGTCCAACATCGGGTCCACGCCTGCGCCACCTGCGGTCGTGCCCGCCGCTGACAGATCCATCACGTTCCCGGCCTGGGGTGGTCGGACAGCCGTCGCCGCTGCGCCAGTCGGTGCTCGCGCGGGCGAGCGGGATGCGCGAGGAGTGTATGAGCCCGAGGAGGCGACGCTGGGATTGGGGCGCGGTCGGACAAAGGTGCGTGCTCCCGCTGGAACCGTGCATTTCGTGATGGCGTGGATGGAGATTCTGAGACGGGAATGGGAGCGCGCCGGGGGGGAGGCCAGATGTGAGTGAGATACTGCGTTGTTGTATGCAATTGGCCGTCTCGTCTTCATCTTATCCTCGTCCCTTCTGTCCCCAGTACACGTCGCTCTGCACTGCTCTGACCTTTATTCTGTAGTGACGTCCTCTAGCGCACGGGCGCCCAATGCATGATATCGGCGCTTGGCCCTCCCACTCTATGCATCTCGTCTGTGCACTTCTACCTCGCCGTTTCCCGTGTCTACGCTCCCACATCACCCACTGTGCGCCATCTACTGCAACTCTATGAGCCTCGATGCCTGTGCCACCTCCCGCTGCCCGTGTTGGCCCGCTCAACGTCGTCGCCTCTTGTGGATGATCGCTCACACTGCCTGCTATGTGCTATCTCACCCGGACTCGTTCTGTCTCTCCGCGCATCGCACGGCACGCTCTC